GTTAAAATAGAAAACGTAGAAGTTATAGGATCCAGCTATCCTACTTTTGTACACTTACCCATACAGTACAAAAACATGTTTAAATATAAACACATATTCCATGTTTATTTCAGCATTATTTACAATAGTCTAGAACTGGACAAAACTTAAGTGCTCACTAATAATAAATGGATAAAGATATGGGCATATATAAAATAGGTGAAGATGCAGTACATATATATCATTAAATACTATTGAGTTAGAAAATTGATGAATTCCAGCCATGTGCAGCACCATGCATTGACCTAAAAAAAGGGTATCATGTTTAGTGAAATAAATTAGATAAAGATAACCTTGGTATGATTTCTTATGTGTATGATATATATAGGAAACATGAGCTAAATAAAAACAATATGTCATAAGGTTGAATCTATAAGACCAGTTGTTGGTTATCAGAAGGGAGGGGATTGGGACAACAAATCTGTACAAAGAGGGTAATTGTCTGAAGAAGAATTAGTGGAGTATTGGAACTTAATGTAAATAAGTTACCATTCCTTTCTCTTCCCTCCCTTCCCCTCCCCCATCCCCCCTCCTCCTCTTCCTCCTCTTCTTTTCTCTCTTCTCTCCCTGGCTCTAGCAGCAACATTTGGGGAACTATATGTGGTGCGAGTTATCAAACCGGGATCAGCTACATGCAAGGCAATCTAGATCCACATACCCCTGTCCCTACTCTTAGATGTTTCTCAAGGATAGGGATAGCACAGCGGTAGGGCATTTGCCTTGCACGCGGCCAGCCCGGCAGACCCGGGTTCGATTCTTCTCCCCCTTGGAGAGCCCTGCAAGCTACTGAGAGTATATGCCAAACACAGTAACAACACGTCTCACAATGGACATGTTACTGGGCCCGCTTGAGCAAATCGATGAACAAGGGGAGGACAGTGCTACAGTGCAGTTCTGTTTTATTTTCCTTAATTGATGCATACGAAGGGCCTGGACCTACCTAGATCAATGCATAGTTATTTAACAATTCATTATTGAGTAAATGGATACAGTAAGACTACTATAATCCATTTAGAAATTATTCCCAGTGTTTTGTAATGGATACTGTGATATACACAAGTGCAGAACTCTGTTTATTTCTCCTTTTATTTTTATACTAAGAAAAAATTTTGTAAAAGCTTATATGATGATTTTAAGAGTTAAAGGATAGCATCAAGGTAATCATATAAAATTATTTAATGATGTCGGTTAAGTTTTTACTGTAAATTTATAATAGGATGCTAGCATCTTTTGACATCTACATTTTAAAAAATAAAAAGCGTATTTAGACCAGATAGCATGTTTCTATAGTTGAATTCAAAAACACAGATTTCTTTATTCATTATGTTAAAGACTTTAAGGGTATTTTTTGTCAGTTATTAGTAATTTGAGGTAGAGTTATTTTGACAATAACTGTAAGAGGTTCTATTATTTTAAAAAGTTATTTGTAATTAAGCTTATATAGGTACTACCACTATCACTTTTTATACACAAACATAAATATTAGGAAAGTGAGAATTTGAAGAGAGCCTACATTTATTCTACTACCTTAACAATTGCATATTTATTATAATCTTACCATCCTGTTATTTTTAGTTATATTTATGCTATCAAATATGAACAAATAATATATAGATGTATTATTAATATGTTATACTAGTATCAGATTTAGAATAGACAAGTTTTAGGTATCCTTGGGCTAGAATTTTGAGCTACCTCCTAAAAATGTACTGGTAATTGCTACATCTGTTCAGATGAGAACCAGATAGATGGGTTTTGTTTGGGGTAAATTTATCTATGTTATCCAAGAGTTGATTTAGCTAATTATACTCTCAAAATCTGTGACTCAATTCCAAATAACTTCGTATCTATAGAAAATTATTTTTACTAAAAATAGAAGTAAGATCTCTGGTAAGAAAAAAAGAAAAAACAAAAAGTGAAAAACATTGGCTTAATGTTTATTGGTTAATGATTGGGTTAAATATTGGTTGATAGTTGGTTTTCAGAATAATCTGCTGTTTGCATACTTTGTACCTATAGTCACAACAAAGCTATAATAATTAAAACGTAGAAGTCTCACTGGAGACCCTGATTAGTTAGACAGTTGCCCGAGGAACTGTAAACTAGGCTTTGTTAAGTAGTCATCAATGAGATACATAACTTAAGTGTTCTTAAGACAGGTGGTTTTTGGTTATATGCCTTTAATTGACTGTGAAATTTTATTGGGTCTTTGTGAGGATCCTAGAATATAGTGCTACTCAAACCCTATGGTACTGGTGATTACCCTTGTGGTGCTTTCAATGGGCTTCCAGAGAGCACCTGGTGATCTTGGGACACAGAGGCCTGGAGTTTTAGGTGGTCTTGCTAGGATTGGATGCATGCAAGTCATGCACCTGTGTTGCCTGTGTTACTTAGGCTGACTCTTTGGCAGTTTCTTCTTGTGGGTTTCTTTTACTATAAGCAATGACTTCCTTTATATATTTATCTGTTTCTCTAATCATAGGGTCAGCAGTTTGCACTGTTTTTCCTTTCTTACTGATTTGAGTTGATTTTCTTTTGTGGTTTTTTTTTGGGGGGGGCATTTTTATTGAATCACTGTGAAATATACCCTTACAAAGCTGTTCATGATTGGATTTCAGTCATACAGTGCTCTAATACCCATCTCTCCACCAGTATACATTTCCTAGAACCATTGTCCCCAGGTTCCCCCCATCACCCCCCAACCCCAACCCCAAACCCCTGCCTGTCTCTATGGCAGGCTCTTTTCTTCTCTGTCTGTCTGTCTGTCTGTCTGTCTTGTCTGTCTCTCTCCCTCTTCCCCCCCTCGCCCTCTTCTTCTCCCTCTCCCCCTCCCCCCTTTGGGATTGAGTTGGTGATTTTCCAATTTCTGCTTGTTAGGAGGACAAGTTGTTCTGGATAAGGCCAAATGCTGTTTTTTATTCAGTGAATCTTTACTTGGCAAGCCTCTCTGTCAACATATGAACATCTTTTTTTTTTGCATGTTTTTTAATTGTTATAGTTTTTGTGCACACCTGACATTTTTAGCTTTAATACCACTGATTTGAATTGCTATTTTTTCTTACTCATCAAATTTCTTATTGCTTGTTTATAGCTTAAAACTAATATATACTTGTTTCTTTTTAATTTTATTTTTTTGCCTTTATGAGGGTAGTCTTAAGGATTTAAACCTTTGCTTCCTCGAATGTCTGAAAATTTCTTTAATTTTACCAAGTGAATATTAATTTTGGAGCATATGATTCTGTATTTCAAATAATCTTTTTTCCAGAATTCTGAAGCTACTTCTTCATTATTGTCTTTTGGCATCTAATGTTGCTGATAATAGTATGATAGCTAGCTGTTATTTTATAGGCAAAATATTTCCCTTTGATTAAAAATCAGGAAGTGAAAATAGGTATTCTTAAATTGTTAAGTTTTTAATTTTCTTATGACTAAATTATAATTAGGTTGAATTTAAGAATAGTCAACATAAGAGATTTTTTTTTGTTTGTTTTTTGGTTTTAGTTTTTAGGCCATACTCAGTGGTGCTTAAATCACCAGAACTGGCATCCACTGATCCCCAGGACTCTGGGCCTGGCTTGGGAGACCCCTTTCCCCAAATTTTAAAATTGAGATCAGATATAGAAATTGTTCTTTTTTATAAAAAAAGAGACTGGAGAGATAGCTCAGCCAACTGGAGAACATGCTTTGCATGCAAGAATCCTGGGTTCTATCTCTGATAGCATATGAGTCCCCAAGCACCATGGCAATGACCCCAACCTCTATGACCCTGAGCATGCCAGTTCTGGTGATTTTTGGATAATGGGGTCATCAGTTCAACATGAGGGCCCAAAGATGGTGTTGTGAGTACTCTGTTGTGCTTGGAATTAGCTGGCATATCCTTGAAGTGCTTAGTGGCATCCAGGGCTACAATGCTTGAGGAACAATGTGGTGCTAGGAATTAAAGCAGGTTGGCTGCATGCAAGGCATATTCATTAATTCTTGTAGGTGTGTGTGTGTGTGGGGGGGGGGGTGTGTGTGTGGGGGGGGGGTGTGTAATTCTCCTCTCCCTTTAATTCTAATGAAAGTACTTTTCAGAATAAATCTCAGTAGTGTTCTTTCATACCTGCATCCTAAGTAATATCTGGCTTTCTGAAGAAATGCTCCCTTTTCCTCTTGTGTCTACTTCTAAATTTTTATGTTTTATAATTAGAATATTCAAAGTATTATATCCTGAACCATTAGTATATTGTCATCAATGGAATATTTTAAAATAAAGTTCCTTTTCCTGGGAAGTTTGTAATTTTGATTTAGTTGGGTTTTTTTTGTTTGTTTCTGGCCACACCAGCAGTGCTCAGGACTAGCTTATAGCTCTGTGCTCAGGCATCACTCCTGGTGAAGTTTGGGGGACCTTATGGGATGTTGGGGATTAAAGCCAGGTCAGCTGCTTTCAAGATAAGCATCCTACCTGCTATACAGGTCAGCAGGTAAGCCACATACAAGGAAGCATACTACCGTCTGCACTATCTTTCCAGCCCCACTGGAGTTATTTTTACGTTTTAAATCCTACCTGCTATACTATTGCTCCGCCTCCCCCTGCCCCCCCCCCCCGTAATTTTAGTTTAGATGATAATGAACTATATATCTATTTTACTTATTTTTGTTTGATTGCTTTCTTGGTTTTTGGGCCACACCCAGTGGTGCTCAGGGATTATTCCCAGCTCTGCACTCATAACTTACTCTTGTCAGTGCTTGGGAGACTATATTGGATGTCAGGGATCAAACTTGGTTTGGCCACTTTTAGGCAAGTGCCCGATTATAGCTTTGGCTCCTATGTGTCTATTTACACCTATAATTATTACCTTGGGTGTTTGAAAGTTTGTTCTGCTTTCTTACTTAGTAGGAAAAATATATAGCAAAACTTACATTTTTAGCTATCCTTTTATTTAGTGTGTATTTGTTTGTTTGTTTGTTTTCCCATATAGACCTTGTGTGGACAGTAATGACCTCACGTTTCCGGTTGCCTGCTGGCAGAACCTACAATGTACGAGCATCAGAGTTGGCCCGAGACAGACAGCATACAGAGGTGGTTTGCAACATTCTGCTCCTGGATAATAGTGTACAAGCTTTCAAAGTTAATGTAAGTTAATTATGTCTTCAAAAATCTCTAATTAGGGTGGAGGGTATGTTGGAAGGGATCTTGAGACATTGGTGAATGGAAGTGGACATGGCAGTGGGTATGGTGTTAGAACATAGTATGCATGAAACTTATCATAAGTAGCATTGTGAATCATGGTACTTCAGTAAAACCTGGGTAAAAATTAAGTTAAATTTAAAAATAACTCCAGTGGGGCTGAAGAGATAGTGCAGATGGTGGGGTGCTGCCTTGCATGTGGCTGACCCGCTTACCTGTTTTTGGTCCTCAGCATCCCATGGTCCCTTGAGCACTATAGGAGTAATTCCTGAATGCAGAGCCATCACTGGGTGTGACCCTAAACAAAAATAACTTTATTTAAGTACAAATTTAAGCTATAAACAAATGATTTAATTGCCATATAGATTGAAAAACTTATACAATGCAGAAAACTATTTTATTATGTGTTTGTAGCTATCCAAGTATAAGGTATGACTCAAATTGTATCTTTCAGAAAGTTTGGGGTCAGAACGATAGTACGGCAGATAGGGTGCTTATCTTGCACACGGCCAACCCTGGTTCAATCCCTGGCAAAACTTAGGATCCCATGAGCCTCCAGGAGTGACCCCTAAGCATAGAGCCAGGAGTAAGCCCTTACTTCCTTACTTACTTCCTTCCTTAAAGAAGGAAGGTAGTTTAGTTGACCCATTCAGAACTAATACATTATAATTAGTTGACCAGATCAATAGAGAATTGGGGATGGTTTTTATAAATGTGATTTTTTAAAGGGCATAATTGTAAAGGTCTAAATTTTATATAATTATTAGTTACTTATTTAGGTCATACTTTACAGTAGCACTGTAGCACAGTAGCACTGTGCTCCCATTGTTTATTGATTTGCTCGAGTGGGCACCAGTAATGTCTCACAACAAATTGTGAGACTTGTTGTTACCGTTTTTGGCATATTGAATACGTCATGGGTAGCTTGCCAGGCTTTGCCTTTGGGGTGAGATTTTCTCGGTAGCTTGCCGGGCTCTCCAAGAGGGGCGGAGGAATTAAACCTGGGTCGACTGCGTGCAAGGCAAATGCCCTTCCCGTAATAGTTAATTTGCTTGCCATAAAAATAGAGCAATAAAAATAATGTAGTTTTATATCAAGTGTGGAAGTTACAAGTTACAGTCACCTAAAAGATGGGCCTGCTTCTTTTTTTTTTTTCCTTTTTAGGAGAAACTGACAAGATCGGGTGTGTTCAGGGTGGTATGGCTGTAGACATAGCATAGCGGTAGGTGTTTGCCTTGCGCGCAGCCAGCCTGACTGAGCCAGGTTCGATTTCTCCGCCCCTCTCAGAGAGAGCCTGGCAAGCTACCAAGAGTGTTCAGTATGCCAAACACAGTAACAAGAAGTCTCACAATGGAGACGTTACTGGGCCCGCTCGAGCAAATTGATGAACAACGGGAGGACAGCTAAGGAGAAACTGAACTTAAGCATCATTTGTCAACTTTTTCCCTTCCCCATGGTCTCAGAACACATACATTCCCTTGTCTAAACAGATATCCAAGTTTCATCAACGGTACCTACCATGTGAAATGCATTTCAGTATCATTTTGAGACCCCCACCTGGCCATGCTCAGTGTCTACTCCCTGTGTAATGCTCATGGGTTCCTCCCTGAGGCACTAGGGAATAAGGGGGGCATACTTTACAGTGGCATTAATATTTATGATTTAGGTGTGCAATACTTCTACAACATATCCTCCCACCATTGTACCTATATCCCTCTACCACTATCTCTGGGTCCCTTCTTGTATCCCACCTTCACTTCCCCTCTTCCACAGGCAGTCTCAGTTCTCTTTGTTTTTTTGAGGGGGACACACTGGCAAACAAACAATACCTTTAAAAAGACCAGGTGACGTACTTATATTAGGCAATATAGACTGCCAGTTTAAAAAGGTCATGAGTGACAGGGATGCCCCAAACACTATACAGATTAAAAGCTTTTCCTATTAAAATATCTATGACATTTTTATTTGGAGTAATAAAACCCTGAGAATACTCAAAACAATCCTAGGGAAAAAGAAGGGAGATTACTTCTTCCCCTATTTTAAATTATACTGTTAAGTTGTAGTAATCAAAGCAGCATGGTACCGGAATAAGGACACTCTCAGACCAGTGGGATAGAATTGAGAGTCCAGAGACAGATCTTCCTGTAAATGGACAGTTAATGTTCAACTGAGTCGAAAAAAGGTATGAAATAGAAAAAGGAAAGCGTCTAACAAATGTTGGTGGGAAAACTGGTCAGTCACATGCAAAAAAAAATTTGAAGTTCAGACCTCTTTTTAACATTATGCATGAAAATTAAAATCAAAATGGATTAACGGCCTTTGTAAGTCTACAATTGTACCTCATGGTGTCTCACTAATTTAAAAAAAAAAGGATTAACGGCTTTTGTATTAGACCTAATCCTATAAATTGTATTGAGGAAAACAGGTAGTTTCACGACATTGAATCTAGAGGCATCTTCAGTGATTCAGTATCATCAGCCAAGCAAACAGAAGCAAAAATAAACAAATGAGATTACATCAAACTAAGAAGTTTCTGCACTGCAAGAGAAACAATGACCAGAAAGAAAAAATATCCCACAGACTGGGAAAAAATGTTTGCTCACCACTCATGTGACGAAGGGTTAGGCATCAAAGATATAGAACTCACTGTACCTTTATAGGGGGAGAGATGAACAGAAAGTTTCCAAAAATAGATCAACAGCTGACCAAAAGGAATATGAAAAAAAATGTTCTCCTTATTATCGGAATATTGAGAATTAAAATGACGAGATATCACCGCACACCAGTGAGACTGGCACACATCACAAAGATCTAAAACAACTAGTGTTGGCAGAGATGTGGGGAGAAAGGAACCCTCATGCACTGCTGGTGGGAATGTAGACTTGTTCAGCCTTTTTTGGGAAAACAATAATGGCCACTTCTCAAAAAAATTAGTAATTGATCTACCATATGATCCAAGAATTCTGCTTCTTGGTATTTACCTCAAGGATCCCAAAACTCTATTCAGACATTTATACTCTTATGTTCATTGCAGCACTTATTCACAACAGCGCAAATCTAGGAACAGCCCAGGTGTACAAGAACAGATAACTGGATAAAGAAACACTTGTACATATACACAATGGAATACTACATGGCTATAAGAAAATATGAAATCATGCAGTATGCTTCTATGTGGATGGATCTGGAGAGTATCATGCTAAGTAAAGTCAGAAGGAGAGGGACAGGCAGACAGGCACAGAATGATCTCCCTTTTTATGTGATATAAACGTAGTGAGGACCACCAGATACTCAAAGGCAACAGAAACTGAGGTAGCATATCATTGGTGGGGGCAGAGTGTGGCCAGGTAATAATGGTGAAGGGAAGCTGACCCTATGGGGCAGGGTGTGGTGCTGGAATGTTTTATGTACAAAACCCTGACACTATCAATATTGTAAATCATGGTGCCTGAAATTTTTTTAAAAAATGTGATAATTTGTCAATTTTCATAGCACTGTAGCACTGTCCTCCTGTTGTTCATTGATTTGCCCAAGCAGGCACAGTAACGTCTCCATTGTGAGACTTGTTGTTACTGTGTTTGGCATATCGAATACGTCATGGGTAGCTTGCCAGGCTTTGCTCTGCAGGCAAAATACTCTCGGTTGTTTGCTGGGCTCTCTGAGAGGGGTGGAGGAATTGAACCCGGGTTGGCCGGGCCGGCGGCTTACAAGGCAAACGCCCTACTATTGCGCTATCACTCCAGCTGTCAATTTTCATAATGTTTGAAAATTCAAACATTGTAATAAGGATCTTTAAAGCTTTTTTCTCTTCTGTTTTGAAGTTTTCCCTTACGCTGTATAATATTAATCACTAGAAAACTTATTACCACCTTGATTTATGTTTTTTAGTGTATTATGATTACCTTTTTTATTTATTTGGAGAGATGTTCTTATCTCTAACCTAGGATACTAGTGGATCAAAACTAACTCTTGGTCCTATGTATGCTCAGAGGACTGCAGTTAACATTTATTGTTTTTCTATCTTGTGTTTTCATTAGACATGTATAGTTTCTTAGACCCTTTTTTTGCTATGTGTATCTGTTATTACTAATGTCACATCTATTAAAGATTTCCAAAGCAGTAATCCAGTGGTGAATTTACGAGCTCTATAGTTACACACAAGTTGCTTTATCTTTTTATGCTTTAATTTTTTTTTAAATTGTTAAGAGAGAAGGGGGCCCAGGATATAGCACAGTAATAGAGTTAATACTACTTTGTATAAGAGACTCTAGATTCCATTGCCAAGAAAATGAAAAAAAAAATGGCAGCAAGTCATTCTCTGATTTTTTATTTTTGTTATTGTTTATTTATTGAATCACTCTGAGAACAGTCACAAAGCCTTTCAGTTCAAGTCTCGGTCAGTCATACAATGATCAAACACCCATCCATTCACCAGTGCACATTTTCCACCACCAAGAACCCCAGTATACCATCTCCCAACCCACCCCTCTGTTTGTGTGGCAGATTTCCACTTGACTCTCTTTCTCTCTCTACGTTGATCAAATTCAATATTTCGACAAAAAACCCAACATAATTATTTGGAATTTTCCCCAACATTCAGACCTGTCAAAAAGACATCATTAGATAATTTGTTTTCTATTGCTGATTATGAAGAGCATATGATGTCGTGTGGCCACAACAGCGGCCACAAGAATTTGGATTTCTAATATTTTAGTAATAAACCTAGAGGGATTACTAACAAAAGTCCCTGGGTTCCGAGATTGGTTTGTGTGCCTCTGGGATCATGGTCATTCAGAAGCCAGAGGAGGTGTTTGAAGGTGGAAACCTGGAGCATTGTTGTGGCAGGGAGCAGGGCCGATTCCACCTCCCATCCCATGAGGCCCCATGTACCTCGTCAATGCAGTCTCATACCTGGCTGTTCATTAGGCTCTGAAAGATGCAGGCCA